TACGTTATTATATGATATTTTTCGAAATTTTTATGAAATTTTGAATAATTCTTGATGTATTCAACGTTCGAATTTAACTTTTGGATTGCGTTATTGAGTGAAAGTATTAACCCTATTTATATAAAAAAAATATAGTAGTACTAAACAACTGTCGTAAAATACAAGTGAAAAACGAAACTACAGTATTGAGTACTTTATTATATATATTATATATATATTACGGCAATTATTCATTCTTATTCATTCTTTATTTGGAACATTAAAGTCAGCTGAACTCTGCTGCATCGACGAATTATAATGAAAATGCATCTTTTTACATAATGACCCTTTCTTTTCAATCAAAATTGGGAAAATTATGGCTTTTGCAATCATGCACATATCACAGTCAATGCATTCTTCAAATTTTCTAAGTTTCAATGCCATCACTAATCTGGTCCCCTCACATGGTATTTGGCCATAACTTTTTTCAATATTACAAATTTGGTTTGTAAATAACATCTTTGTAGCGAAGCCGAATATAATGATATGATTTCTTTTATGAGTATGCGTTACAAACAATTCGGTAAGGGTAAGCATACAATATTGGGCAAAATTTTTTGTCGAATAACGGTAATTTGGCAAACCGGGGCAAATGAACACGTGTCACTTCGCGACACGTATACCAATCATTTGACCGGTTGAGCCAAATTATCGTATTCGACAAATTGCCCAATATTGGCGTTGTCCGGCAATTTTGATCATGATTGGTAGGGAGTCATCGACTGAGTTTTAATTTGAATAAACATGATTACATCGTAACACATGAAAAAAATAACAAGACAGATGGCAATTCATGATCGTAAGAGTTTGCCGGATAACATATTTTACTTAGTTAATTGTGCTTTATTCATCGAAGGAATTATTGTCTTTTTCTGTCATATATCATTAAACCTTGCCTATATATTACTGTATATTATTGGCTGAATATCCACGAATCAATTTAATCAATAAGGTAGTTGTGTAACATTGTTTAGGCACGAAGGGTGTAGTCTTGTGGATACCCACTAATATAATAAAATAATAAAATAATGAAATTCTTGGTAAGTATTTTATTATAATTTTGATTAGCCGGCAGTTTACTATGATAGTGCTTGCAAAATAGCACGAGTTTTTGACAATGGTTACGTCACCTGCCAAATAATTTGCAATTGGAAAATGTGTACCAGGTTGGTGGCGCAGACAAAATTCTTACAATTCGTTAAGGTTAGGGTTAGGGTCAGGGTTAAGAACTAGAGGGGTGTAGAACTAATAGTAAAATTGTCAACGAAACTTTTTGTTAGAGCACAAAAGGTGGTTTCTTAAGTTGATTTTTTGAGTTATGAACGAACGAACGTTTGTTTTGAATCTTTTTGATTGTGTTACGTTACACCTAATCTTGAAAGCTGATTCGTAGATCAGAAAAATACTTCACCAACATTTGGCAGCTTACGTAATCATTGCCAAAATTCGAGTCATTTAGCAAGCACAATCTTCGTAAACCACCGGATGACACCGTTATTGTATGCTACGCAGCCGATAGTTTTTTATCTGGCAGTTAATTTAATATGTGTCATTTCTGTGCCCCTTCGGACCCAGAAGCTGACATATTAGATTTCACAACCAGATAATGAATTATTTTACAAATAATTCTCGCTATTGGTTGCTTCATACCCAATAACAAAAAGCTTTTATTAAATTATATCTCACCAATTAAATATTCTTATACAATAACTACGAATTTAAATTGTAGCATGTGGATCGATAACGTAGCGGCTATGTATCCGAGTTCTAATTGTAAGGTTGCTAATTCGAGTCATATCGAAGGACAAATAATACCAGAATCACCTTTGAAGATTAACTACATGCCTTTTGGAGGATACTGTGAGAAGGATATTTCCAATGAAACTCCTGTTGAAAATCCTGTTGAAATCAAGGAAATTCCCAAAAAGGGATCGTCTAAAGCGCAGCAGAATTGCGGAGCAGAATCACGTGATATGTGACTAAGTTGAATTTTTGATGATCGCCGGCGAAACAAAACCAGAAGAAAAGTGTAAAGCTTGAAAAATACAAAAAACTATATTCAACACCTACTTTGAGAAGGTTAATTAAAACTGTCGGGAAGACAATTTTGCATATAAATAACCACTAAAACTTAACCTAATCTAAGATGACCCTAACCCTAAAGTTAATTTAAAGTTAATTTAATAAAACATATGCACAGTGGCTCTCGATATAACGAAGGCCATGGTCCCAGTCCGTTATATCAAGAGTTCAGCAATATCCAAATCTCATGATATATCAGATATTATAATAAATTATAATTTGGTTCCATTATAATTTCTTGTATTAAGCATTATTCGTTATATTGGTGGTCCGTTATATCGAGAGCCACTGTGTATTATAAGAGTCTACCCGCTTTAGACGTCCTCCAAAAAAGTATATTTCGATAGAAAATTAGAATACCTCCGACGAAATTCTGGTTGAAGTTAGCACTGGGTTGCAACGCTTATGATTACAATAACAATTTGTTAAAATAGCTAGTTGTTAGCTCATGTAAATTTCTAAACGTAGGACTCATTAGTTAAAATAGGTAATATTAAATAAATAAATTGTACGGCCTGTGAGACCACGCCAAGGGCTTAAAAAAAAAAAAAAAAAAAAAAAAAAAGGAAATTTGTATTGTTGTTTTAAATGTATCAAGATCACATATCTCTTATATTTTTAGTTATACTGTATCTGTTCGACCTATTTGGACGGCAACTTCAGATATCCTAAGTTGCACTTCCTAAAATTAAGCACCCGAAATAGACTTCATATACGCATTAAGCAATAATCTTAGCCAGTGCAACTTAAATTCGAACGTTGAATACATCAAGAATTATTCAAAATTTCATAAAAATTTCGAAAAATATCATATAATAACGTA